CGAAAGTGAGAATTGGCAGAAAAGAGATGGCTAAAATGCGAGAATAGGAGAGAGAGAGAGAGATAGTGAATAAGAGTAGGGGAGTGTAAATGAGAAGAAGAACAAGAACGAGAAAGCTAAGGTGAGAATGTGAAAAATATTGCATGGGAGAGTATGAGAATGCGAGAGAATGGAATGGAAAATGAGAGGGAGAATAAATTGTCTAGTCATTATGCTGGTGAGAGACAATGTGATTGGTGTTGTGAGGGTACACTAGAGTGGGCAGGTGAATGAATGCCAGAAAAAGGGGTAGGAGTGATGGTGAGAGCACGAGTGGTCGAGAGTGAGTGAATGAGAACGCGAATGATAGGACGAGTAGTATGAATGAGAACAAGAGAGAAAGTGAGAGTGTGAATGCACGTGTGATTGAGGCATGTCTGCAGACGACAGGCCGGATTGTGGCGCCAAAGCGTGCCAAAGGTGGACTTGTCATTTATGCCCAAATGAGAAGAGGAGAATGGCGAAATTTCCCACCAAATAATGTGAAATGAGAGATTAGCTCAATTTGTCCTGAACACCAAATTTGGCGAGCAACCAAACGGCGGGTCTCGAAAGGCATGCCGAAACGAAATGTAATGCTTTAGTTGAGCTGTTGGTGCTTTTCAAAGAGCCGACGAAACTGATCCGCCTCAACAAATATCCTCTTCACTTGTTCGTGATCAGTTCCAGAAGAAAGGCCACCCGATCAGATTGAAGCGTGACACTGCTCCTATTCAACTGGGCTATCGGGTTCGAACCCGGCCATGCAGTGTCGACTCAATCCAGCCTCGTCGTCATGGCGTCTGACGACGCATGAGCAGTTGTCGTCCATCGAAGGTACATGTTCAGACCCATTGTCTTGTGGCATAGGCGCCGTCGACTTCATTCTTGCGGTAGGACGCGCTCTCGATAATCACCTCTTTTTTTTCCAGCTTGCTTCATGTCTTTCTGGAACAGCCAGTCTCCACCGCAACACTCCTGACGTTGGTCGGCGCAAGAGCTGTCGCAATGGTTCAATGGTGCACAGACCTCCACGAAAACGACAAACGATTGGCAGATATGATCAAATGTGAGTGCATAAGTATACACTCATCTTGAGATGACATTTTTGTGGAGACCTTTGCTTTGTATGAGAATTAAGTGCTCGAAACCGAGTGGTGTGTGTCATGTGACAGCCGCTTGCTACTCCGCCATGCAAGACCTTGAAAGGTTTTTTGACAGTTCCGACTACTACTCTAATAGTCACTAGTAGTATCATATAGTTTAATAAAAAATACAAATTTGTTTTGCTAACAACTTTTCATATGTTTGACCCTTTGGCTTTCGTGACTTGCAGGCAAAGTTGTTTTCCCACAACCATGTGAGTAGGGTTTTGCATTTTGCATAGCCTTGCTTTCCCAAATGGTATTCCCATCCAGGCTGAACTGGTCTCATCAACACCCCCAGTGGGACTCGGACCATCACAGTGTAGCGTGCAATCTCGACATATTGACCACTACCCTTCGGTCACAGGGCAGATGTGAATTTCCAGCAAGTTATTGCATTTTCTCATGTCACATTCTTTGGTGTGATTGTCGATGAAGCAAAGTTGTACCTGCTGTAGTAAGCGATTAGATTACTCATTTCCCCTTTATAAGTAGGTTGTCGAGGCTGCCCGTAAATCAGATATACGAAATGTTTTAAGCATATTTCGGTTAAAGTGATGAACGACTGGTTTTATGCTTCCATCGCGGTGCTGAGGCAATACAGGCGAAGGTGAAACTGATATCCAAGCCGACCTGCACTGAACGACGTCCTGAGGCCTTCTACTCATTTCATCGTGGATCTTCTGTCATTTCAAGCAGGCTAAGGGGAGATCTCACTTCTTGAACACTGTTGTGAAGACTTTCATTTTGTATGGCAACGCGTCTGATGAAGAGACGTCTTATTTCCCTTGTCCTACAGCCTTTTTGGCTCAGCTACGAGGTTCAGGTTGGCACATTCCATGAGGCATCCTTGTTCGGAATAGGTCAAATTGGGCTTTGTTTTCGCCCGTCATTCCAGTTGGACTGAAACCGA